GAATGGTACAATGATCCTGTGTAGTAGGAGTGTCATAGAATCGTGGCTATAATTTGAGAGCTGCATGATATTAATTATGTGAACATTTAGCATTCTGGAAAAGATTGTTTTTGGTTTATTTCTTTTTTCAAATGCCTCAGTGACTTTTCATAACAGCTTTATGTCTAAGTCATCAAATATTTTATCTACTATTTGCTAAATGCACCAGCCTCTTGTTTTCCATTGTTATTATTTTCTTGTTATTGTTAAGAATAAAGGTCAGTTCCTTGGTCTTTCCTCGTATCCAATAAAAATTCCAGTTTACTCATTATAAAGAAAAATCATATTAATTAAAGCTGGTAGTGACCCCCAAAGTTCAAATCTATTATGCAAATTACACTTTAAAATTCCCCTAGTGCCCGGCCAGTGTGGCTCAGTTGGTAGTGTCATCCCATGCACCAAGAGGTGGCTGGTCGATTCCCAGTGATCTGAAGTTCTTTCTACTCCTCTTTGCTCAGTTTATCTCACTGCACCACACATAAAAGTGCGTTGAGCCACATACTGCAACTATAGCTATATGCTCTGCTGTTTCTTTTTCTTTATTTTTTTTTTAAATTTTGTTCACTTTGAAAGATTCCTAAGGTATGCACATAAAATGTAATATACTGACCTGGCCATCTGGATTTTTTTTACTGGGTCAGAGCCTCATACCATACATAAGCAACAGCCACTGAATAACTGTTTCATGTTAAGCATCTGATACCACATTCTGGTTAGGTATGTAAGTATGTGTGTATGTATTTATGATTTATAGAAGTATATAAGTATCTTGTTAACACTCACAGTGGATAAAAGCTGTTAAATATGCAGCCTTGCACTAAGGAAAAAACATCAACTGATAGTATATATTATGAGTTATATGGATCCTGTCATTTTTCACACATAGTCACTCAAAATCTCACTGTTATAAAAATCATTTGTTTTGCCTGGTCAGTGTGGCTCAGGGGTTGAGCATCAGCCTTTGAACCAGGAGGTCACAGTTCAATTCCCTGTCATGGCACACACCACAGGGTATGGGCTCGATCTACAGTAGCGGGCGTGCAGGAGGCAGCCAATCAATGATTCTCTCTCATCATTGATGTTTCTGTCTCTCTCTCCCTCTCCCTTCCTCTCTGAAATCAGTAAAAATATTTTTTAAATCATGTTTTGACATTCACATTAATGTATTTTCCCTCTACTCTTTGTCATATTCCTGTCACATGACATAAAAATAAACAAACAAACAAAAACCCCACCAGTTTCTAAATTCTCATTTTCAAATAATTTCCCTATAAGTTTGACTTAGTAAATAAAATATTCTTAAAAGTAGAATGTGTTGTTAGGAAATGAAAACTGCCCTCAGTGGTGGTATACATTCTTTGCTCTGCATCTGGGGAAGTGTTTAAAGTACTCTGGCAGGGGAACCTTCCCCACCCTCACCCCCACCCCCCAAAAAATGGTCATTATGTAACTGAATTTGGGAGGGATTAGCAGCTCTTTGAGGCAAGATCTTGCTTCCTCATACTGCTCAGCATCAGCCATTGCTAAGAACTGGCGTTGGTCCTGAATGCTGAGTTTGCAACTTGAGTAAATCCCAACCTTGTTCCCTTTTCAGAGCACAGGCATCATAACTCCACACACACAGGGCCACCCATTTGAGCAGGCTTGGCGGGCTCCCTGACACGTCAAAGAAGAGCACATCTGCCCAATGCCCAGAAAGGAGAAACGGGGAAACCATACTCCTCCTTCTGGATTGTTCCTGAAAGCACATGTATTATTTTTATGTCGTCAGTCTTTATATCAGGCATGGCCCATAAGTATACGACCATATCCAACAGTAGTGCGACTTTAGCTCCTAGTTCTGAAGTTTCACTCCACTGAGGTTAATAATGAGTTAGAGGGGAGAGCAAGAGGAAGACGGCAGATGTTCATAATAGCACCGTTAATTATATAGAAGAGCAATAGCATTGTCAGGTCCAATAAACTAAGTACTTTTTCTAGTTTATTGTTCAGAATCAGAAAAAGAATAATTCTTGATGTTGTATTGCCACAAGAAAATCTCCTGCCTCATCACCTTCGTGTATCATTTCATATGGGATTTTATATTCTGCCTGACTTTAATTAATGATACTACTATATTAAAATGCCTACATAACTAAATACACAAGTTAATCACTTGACTTTCAATGAGAGTTAAACAGTCTCTAAAGAGCAAATGGTACATTAAGTCTCTTTCATAGCTAGCACATTACACTTGAGTTAGCCTTGGGACAGTTAAAAGTATGAAAAGTCTCCTTAACATTAAAAAGGAATAGTCTAAATGCTAGAAACTAAACTTTGAAAGTAACTTATAATACATTATGTTAAATTTCTTGTTAGTGTCACGAGATTTAAAAACAAAACTACATTAGCCCTATAGGTTTGGCTCAATGGATTGATTGTCGGCCTGCGGACTGAAGGGTCCTGGGTTCGATTCCGGTCAAGGGCACATGCCCGGGTTGCAGGCTCGATCCCCAGTAGGAGGTGTGCGGAGGCAACCCATCAATGATTCTCTCTCATCATTGATGTTTCAATCTCTCTCTCCTTCTCCCTTCCTCTCTGAAATCAATAAAAATAATAAAATAAGATACATTATCTAATATATTAAAAAAACAAAACCACATTAAATATGACATTCTTCATAAATATCTTCTGTAAACCATTCCTCAGAAAAATATGTGGATATAATTGACTGATTCTTAACTGCCCCATTGTCATTATCCATTCTTTTTAATTAATATACTTCATTAATAAAGTTATGTCTTTCTGTGGTTTATCTAGAAATAAAATATCAAATAAATTGCAAATAAAGGATTTTAAAAGTATGTCTAGAACTTAAGGACCTATACCATTCCAAAAATGAAGTAAATGTCCTTGTGTCATCTTTAGTACAAAGGCTACCATCACATTTTGCATTGACATATAGGAAACAAGGTAGTATATTTATGTAAAATTTCTAGAAAAAAAACATTATGTTTCACTACCGCAGAACAAATTATTTTTGTGTATTCTATTCCAGGAAGAGGAAGGAAAAACTATTGTAATAGTTGCAGTTTGTATTAACTTCAAAGCTGGTAACTCTTTTCCAAAGATAGCTTGCTTTCTTCTTAAAAGAAATTTTTAGAAAACCCCTTTGGTTTAGAGTACAAAAATCTGATTAAAATAAAATATTTAGAAATATGTTGTTGAGAAATCACTTGCAAATTACAGTCAGACCTTTAAAAATCAATCTAATTTGAATCACCAGTCTAAATAGGTCATTTAACTTAGAAAAATTAAAATGAGTTGCACAGGGTCACCTCTTTTTCTAAAACACCTGCATCCTCATGTCCTATTGTCTTCAACGTCAAGGTTAGTCTGCATGTGAAATGGCCATAAAAGTTTACATTATATATGAAAACAGTGGGGGGTGTCGGGGATGCTTCAAGAAGTTTCGAATGGAAGGACAGAAGGCAAAGCAGAGAACTCTTACATTTCAGGAGGATAATGGTATGTGTGTGGGGGGCCTCTACTGGTGCTCTTCTCTTGCCTTTCACATGGGGCACATTCACAGTTCATGGCAAATCACATGCAGCTCATACAAACTTATTACAAAGCGCATACTTCCATTCTCGTTGAGTCTCCCACAAGCTTCTCTTATATCAAACTGCCAATATAAGATCATGAACCTGATCTCTCCTGTCCAGCACCTTTAAAGACTTTCTCATTCTAGGACACTCTGGGAAACTCAGGGGTCAAATCCCTACTCCCCAGAAAACCTTCCAGAGCCTAGAAATAACTGCAAAATCTTGAAGGTAACATCTTTGAAGTGTGAACGCCATCAAATAAAACAAAATACACATGAGAAAAAATTGGCTGCCTGAGATGGCCTTGGTCCCTCCACGCCAGACCATCCATAAAACCAAAAGGACCGCGACAATGCTGGAAAAAGAGGGTGTCAGGTGTCTGAGAATGGACTCTGCCTGCAGAGGCAGGGCACCCCAGGTGGCTGGCAGAGAGGGAATAGGCTCCATGGCAGGTAGAGAAAGAAGTCAGTTTTGTCTCATGACTCTCCAAAGCCACCAGGAAATGCACCACATCCTTTCTGGGTGAAAAGTAACTTTGATGCTCAGAAGGAAAAAAAAAGAAATACTTTCATATTCATTCTCCAGCTAACAACCATCTATCCCCAACAGGCAAAGAGTGACCAGTGATGCTAATGAAACAGGTTTTCCTCTCTGCCCATCTTCCTAAAGCCACTTCCCAAAAATGAGACCTTGATTCTCTCAAGACCCCTCTCCGTGGAAAGATGGAATGGAAGCACCTGTGCTCTGACAAGGACGCACACCCAAGACTTGACCTCGGGGAATTGCCAAGGAACAGCTCTAAGCTACCTTTTTCTTAAAAGGGTCAAACCCCAAACAACTCGGATTTATTCGTCTCCAGATGCATGATAACATTTTTGTAACTGCCTGGACCAGAGAGAGAAACAATTCCACTCCAGCCACCACCATTCCACACACATGGACCAACGACAGAAACCGTCCCGGAGACGGGCAGCGCAGGCTGACTCCTTCCACGGCAACCTCTCCAAATCGGCTTTCCGCCCCGCCGTGCCAGCCCCTCCTTGGGGCTTCGGTGCGCGCCCTGAACTCGGCTTCTCCCCATTCTCAGTTCGGAGTGGACTCGGCCCTGCGCACGCCCTGCCTCCGGCGGACCCTTAGGGGCGGCGTCCCCGCTCTTGGGAGGTTCTCAAAAGCCCCAAGACAAGTCGCTCGCGCCGGGTCCGGGAACCCCGGGGTTTCCGGCCTCCCGGGGTTCCAGCTACCCCGGATCCCCACGCCTGAGCGGATTAAGTTGCTCGGCCCCCAGCAGCGATCACAGCCCGGGCCCCTCCCACTCCCGCCCCTCCAGCTCCGGCGCCCGGGGGTCCCCCGCCTCGGCGGAGGTGAGCGCGCACTCACCGGAGGTGAGCTGCATCCAGGCACAGATCTTGTACACGGTCGCCGTGTTGCAGAAAAAGAAGAGGGTAAAGCAGATGATGCAGGCGATGATGAGCATCATGGAGAGGCCGATGAAGAAGGAAGCGGCTTTGAAGGCGCCGGAGGGCAGCGTGGAGAAGTCCGTGAAGCTGCCCCTGCAGGTCAGCTCCCGGGAGAAGCCGTTGCCGATGCAGTAGTGGAAGAGCCCGAAATACCCGGCTTGCGGGGTGTCCACGCCGTCGCCGATCCAGTAGGGCTGGATGAAGCACACCACGTTGACGATGGCAAAGCAGATGGTGAAGATGGCCCACAGCACGCCGATGGCCCGCGAGTTCCGCACATAGTTGGTGTGGTACAGCCTCGCAGCCTCCTGAGCCGGGAGCATCGCGGCGGCGGCGGCTCCGGGCATCTCCCCTCCGCCTCCTCGGGCGCCGGTCCTCCGCCTCCCCCGCCTCTCCGCGCGCAGGAGACACACTCACCGAGCCGCGCGCTGCAACTCCCGTGCCTCCGCCTCAGCCCAGCAGCGCCAGTTTCAGAGTCCGCATCCTCGCTCCCGGAAGGAGGGCGGGGGAGCGCCGAGCACCCCTCCGGCTCCCCTGGCACAGCCCCGCGGCCCCCCTTCCTCCCTCCTGGCCGGGGCGCCAGCCCTTCTCGCCACCCGCCGCCCCTCTCCCCTCCGCGGCTGCAGCTGCTGCAGCTGAAGGCGAGAAACCCCGCGCGGGGCAGTGTGGAGCGCGAGCGCCCGCACCCCCACCCCGCTTCGCGCCTTCCGCCCCTCCCCCTTCGCTCCCGGTTCGCGGTCCCGCCGCCAGGTGCCCGGGTGCCCCGGGGCGAGGAGGACTTCGGTGACCCTGGGATGCCCCTCAGGTGGCGGGCGGGACTGGAGCCGGCGAAGGGGAATCGCGGGAGGGGACGGGAACACCCACTGGGATCCTGGTTGGTGTTAGGGACAGGGCGCGCGAAGCGGGATCGGAGCATTCAGCCCCGCACAGCAACGTGCTTCGACCTCTGCATCTTTGCAAAGCGCTTGGGGAGCGAGGCGGGTGCTGGCGAGACACGCCAAGGGAGAGCGGACGTGCTGCCGCCCCTTAACCCACCCACCCACCCCCCCCGACACACACACACACACACACACACACACACACACACACACACACACCACGTACTGACTCCGAGACACTTCCCCGTTAGGACCACAGAACTGCCTCTGGCTAACTCCTAGGCTGCCTCCAGTCGACAAGGTGGAGACCAGAAGTTGGGCAGGAGCTGGCAGACAATAATGTAAAAGACACCTCAAGGGTGGTCTCAGATCTGTCCAACTGGGACCCACCTCTCTGTTTTCCCACCTCTCTGCAGCCAGATGAACTGTAGCCAACCCATGCCCTATACATTCTTTTCAGTCAGGTCACTTTCCCCACAAATTCTGCCACAGACCCGCCACAGAGGGGCTTCTGAGGCATGGAAGTGACACAGTCACGGAAATAGTTTGACTGAAAACATTGGGTAGTGTGGCCAGTGTTGTATTTCTTACATATGTGCTGTGCTGGGTGCTAAAGATACAACAAGGAAGATAGGTGACTTTTCATTTTCCAGGTATTTCTCCCTGCCCCACAACCCAAAGCTCCAGTAATCACAATTGTTTTCAGAGTAATTTCCCCTGAATTATCCATAACACAGCTTCTTACATTTGCATGAGGCATTGTTGTTTTATACCTGCACTTGGTGCTGTTTCCTTAGCTTAATGTTTTCTCTTTCCAGTCTTTCTATTGCTCTGTTAATAACCACTGCCTTTCAGACTCCATTTCTTTATTACCATGAGTTACTTATTGGTTCCTTCTGATTCTAATTTAAAAACAAAACAAAACAAAAGCATGTAATCCCCACTCAAAACAATGGAACCAGAAGGCTCGATAGCAGCAGCAGATTTGAGTAACTAACTCATTTTGAACCATATGACCACTAAATTCTCTGAGCAGAAAGGAGAGAATTCTGTTAGAATTTGACCCCAAAGTTTACACTTAATTGCACACTTTATTATAATGCAAAAACAGATGTGAACAGAGTCTTGCCTTGGTGCCCAATCTGCCTACCTTCTTACTAGAGCAGTGAGAGACAAGAGATACTAGGGGGAATATGAAACTACCAGGAATGAGTAAGAAAGCTTAGAATGGTTCAGTTTGGGGGGGAGAGGGAGTAAGCTCCAAAAGGCATTCAGCTACATAAATTACTATTATATGGAAGAGGGGTCACACTCTAAGGCAGTGGTTCTCAACCTTGGCTGCACATTAGAATCACCTGGGAATCTTTTTAAAATCCTGATTTCTGGGCCTCATCATTAGTAACAGAATTTCCAGAGGATGAGGCCCAGAAATCAGGATTTTTAAAAGATTCCCAGGTGATTCTAATGTGCAGCCAAGGTTGAGAACCACTGCTCTAAAGGATGAAGATTTGAGATTGTATGGGGAGAGAAAGGGAGAAAGTAGAAAAAAAAGAAATATGGGGCACACAAGATAATGAAGGGCTGAAACTTGGAAAGAATTTTTAAAATGGAGTCTTATATTCAGCTTTTCCTATAGGTATGAAATGTGGATATTATAGTTCAAGGCAGGAGTCTGGAAATCAAGAGGACAGAATTAAACAGTAGCATGAGACATGGAAGTTTAGGTGACTAAGAATTTCTTGCAAGTATGGTTGTAGAGACTCGGGTCTTTTAAAAATCAAGGCATTTGGGGGAGGTGGGAAGGATGACCTAAATATGAGCTGGCCCAGTATAACACCAGCAAGTCTCTAAAAATATAATTTGTGATGATGCATCATTAGTGCATTGGTGGCAATGGAAGGTCAGAACTTCTGTTAAGTTTCATTAGTCTTAACTCCCCTAAAGTTACCAGTAAATCTGAACATCAGAAAAGTTTTAACATGGAGGGAGAAAGAGGGAAGGTGATAGTAATCGGATATATGGGGCCATCTGGCAGGTCATGTGTCCCAGGCTCAGAGACAGCTTAACAGCATGAATGACAGTAATTTCCAGTAACTCTCCCAAGCCCTCACATCTCCAAACCTGCTTGTAGGAAGTGGTCTTTCTTCAAAATCAATACTTAAAAAGAGATCTTACTATTCCCATGGGGTGGTAGAGATGGCAGTTTGCTAAGAGGGGAACGGCTGAGAATCAAAAAGCCCACTTAGACCTCAGTGCTTAAATTGCCTTTATAGGACAAAGAAGAGACTGGCGAGTGACTCAGATTCAAATGCTGTGATTCAAAGAGCTTTTCTATTTGAGTCATGCCCAAGGAGAGCCTTATTCTTGTTCTAGGTTTGGAATTGCCTCTGGGTTCGTGCTTAGAATCACTATGCCAAGAAGCAGACTCAAAATGGCTCCTCTTTTCAAGAGCAACTGGGAACAGATCAGTGTTGGTGTGTTCCTGATCTAAAGTGACCCCTCCCGAGGTGAGGAATCAGTCAGGGATACACTGAACCCTACCAAAGGCCCTTCTTCATTCCTTTATCCTGCCCTGCACCACAGCAGATTTCCAGAATGAAGCAGGATTTCCCAAGACTTGAGATTAGAGATAAGCAGAACACCTGTAAACATTTCGGTTGTCACCAATGAAGGCAGGTTGTTCTACATCTTCCCACACTCCTCCGTTGCCCATCTCCAACTTTGGCTTTGGCAACCAGGAACCCCAGAAGTAAACCTGACCCTACCTTTACTCTAGAACTTTCTCTGGCACCAGGCAGACTTGAGGAGTTCAGGCAGCTAAGCATCTGGACAACTAATGCTATTCATCAAATATGATGTGACCAACCAGGAACACTGTTTTGGGCAAGAGGAAATAATCAAACTCGCCTGATTCATGCTAAGAAGTTACTATTGATAGAAAACTATTTTGAAACTATAACGTGATTCATATGTGCTACATAACTAGTAGAAGTTAGTGTCATTGAGAGTATCAAATTAGCAACACTCAAATCTCAAACTTCACTGTTAAAAATGTTTTTCTCTCATTGCCACAAAGTCAGTAGTGAGACTCGCTCTTTCCCCTGTGTCTTAATGCATGTTAGTACTATAAAAGCGAAAACAATGGAAACTTGGACTGTGTGACACTACTAAAAAGATTCTGGATGAATTAAAGGACTAAGTGTTTTTATCCCAAACTAATCTGGAAGTGTGAAAGCCATGGAGGGCAAGAGACTCCAGATCCAGACCCAGCGCCATCTCTGCGTAACTGTAAGAGCCTAGGACTCTTCGGGCTCCATTTTCTCCTCTAGAATTATTGCAAGGGAGAGGGCACGTCAGATGAATTGCAAAGTCTCTTTCTATAGTAAAATTCTATTCTATTCTACAAAGACTATTCCAGAGTGACTTTGCAAAAAATGACAAAACCCAGTACTTGAAAAAAAAAATGACGCAAAACCTAACAAGAAAAATCAGACTCCAGTGATGCAGAATTTTTATTTAAAATCAAAAATCCCTTCTACCCTAGCCAATATTGCTCAGTGGTCAGAGTGTGGGCCTGCATACCAATGGGTCATGGATTCCATTCCCAGTCAAGGGCACAAGTGCCCACCAATCTCTTCAATGCCTCTCTCTCTCTCTCTCTCTCTCTCCCTGCTTCCCTCCCTCCCTTCCACTCTCTCTAAAAATCAATGGGGGAAAAAATCCTCAAGTGAGGATTAACAACAACAAAAAAAGAAAATCCCTTCTGAAATCCTACTGCTATTTTTTATTTTTTTTTTCAGGCAATGGGTACTTTGTGTTCTCAGGTGAGTCCTTGCTATGACCTTGGGAAATGGAGAAAGAGATGATTTCTAAAATCTTTTCATTGATTTCTGGTGCTATCACCAAGGTCAATACCAGATCCCATTCCAGAATATAAAGATTCCAATAATGAAGCTCTTTTCACTTGCCAAGGCTTTCCTTCTGCCCCTCTCCCACTTCAGTTTTCTTTTTACAGCTTTTCAGAAACACCTTTTAGTTCATCAGTCACTAGGTTAGCAGTGGCAATCAGACTCAGACAGAGTGAGTGTTCAAGGTCCGTGCAAATCAAGATTCCGATACAAGCTCTGATTTCATTGCACCTCAGTCTATACCCCTTTGCAGAGATGTTAGCGCTACACGTGAAAAGAACTGGGAAATAGGAATATCAGTCATTCTCCTTCTTTCCCTTTTTCCTCTGTTTTGAATTGGATTCTGTGTAAGAGGCACCCCTTTTATAAATTCTTTTCACTCTTCCAGAACCCAGCTAAGAGCATAAGTTGTTTTCTCATAAGGCTAATCACCTCCACAGGCTATGCTAGAAAAACCATCTCTCTGTTAACCTGGTAAGTCCTTGATTATTTCAGAACAATGCTGTCTGAAGGTAAGTAGTGATCTCTATTGAATAAAATACGATGAAAACAGGGTCATCACTTCAGTATCATTTTTAAGTCTATAATGGAGCAATATTATATTAAAGTTTTAAGTTTAATGTGTAGGTTTGTTCTCTAGTACTAGATAATTGTTCTGATCTTTTACAAATATATATATCTGCTGTTCATCTGAACCTGCTTCATGAAGTTTCCCACTCAAGGTGTACCTTGGTTGAAAATCAAAGCCTTCATTTAGAACAGTGGTTCTCAACCTTCCTAATGCCGCGGCCCTTTAATAC